GACCTGCAGGACCGACAGCCATTAGGGTCAAGCGACCACATCACGCTCTACTTCGAGTACTCACTGTTTTACAAACCCGCCCAACCCGAGAGGTGGGAGAGGAACATTTGGAAAGGTGACTATTCTCTCATGAGGAGGGAAGTGGCAGCTATATCATGGGAGACTGAACTGCATGGTCGAACAAACGATAACTGGAATACTTTCAGTTCCTTACTGAAAGAGATTCCAATTGTCCTCTCAGAAGAAAGAAAATCACAAACCGCCCAAAATGGATAAACCCGGACTTGAAGACCTCTTTCAGAAAAAGAAATCGTCTGTGGAGGCGTTACAGACAAACTGGCTCCGACGAACACTTACAGGACTATAAGCGGCAACGAAACGTCTGTAAAAGTGAGGCCTCAAAGCTGCGAAAGAAGTTTGAACTAAACATCCTTCGAAATTCGTTGGAGCATCCGAAAATTCTATATGGTTATATACGAAGTACTAAAAGGACTCAGGAGCTAATCCCTGCCCTCAGGTCTGCAGATGGAAAAGTGGAGATTGATGACCAGGTTAAAGCGTCCCTCCTTTCCGACTTCTTTCAGTCCGTTTTCACCCGAGAACCTAGTGCTATATCTGCCCATCCATCCATTCGCCAAACAACCTCTCCTCCCAGTACCCTTCCCCATCCTATCCCCTCCCTACCCTCCTTAACCGAGGAACCACTCTTTTCATCTACCATAGTTAGGGCCGAGCTACTCCGGCTGAAACCTGCCAAATCGCCTGGCCCAGATAGAATTCCCGCCCTAGCACTTCGCGAACTTGCTATTGAACTGTGTAAACCCTTATCCGCAATATTTAAAAAGTCATTTGAAGACGGCGAGCTACCGGAAGAATGGAAGTGCGCACTCATTACTCCGATCCATAAAGGAGGCTCAAGACTTGACTGCGGAAATTATCGTCCTGTCAGTCTTACTTGCATCGCGTGTAAAATAATGGAACGCATTATCAAAAGACACTTGATGAAATACCTGGAACAGAACAAAATATTGTGCGATGCTCAACACGGCTTTCGTCCAGGGCGCTCCTGCTTAACGAGTGTTCTTTACTCACACGAGAAATGGACACGAGCTACCGATAAGGGTTTTCCAGGTGATGTCATATTTTTTGACTTCAAGAAGGCCTTTGACAGTGTCCCACACAGGCTTCTTTTGCAAAAGATCTGGGATGTAGGGATTCAAGGGAGAATGTTTAAGTGGATCAGGAGTTTTCTGTCCTCCAGACTACAAAGAGTTGTCGTTAGTAATTCTACCTCGGAATGGGTAAAGGTGGAAAGTGGTGTCCCACAGGGTTCTGTCTTAGGCCCAGTACTCTTCCTGATTTATGTTAATTCCTGCATCAGCGAAGTTAATTGCGAGGCTCTCATGTTCGCGGATGACATAAAAATATGGAGTGAAGTCAAATGCGATGATGACGCAGAGAAGTTGAAGTCGAACATCAACAAACTGTGTGCTTGGTCGAACAGATGGCTTTTGAAGTTTAACGTGTCCAAATGCGTGGTTTTGCACCTGAACACCGGCCGCAATGCCTCTCCCAAACACCAGTACTATATTGACGGGACGAGGTTAGAAACTGTGGAAAGACACAGGGATCTGGGTGTATGGACGACCACAAATCTATCGCCATCAGAACACTGCAGAAAGATGGTCCAGAAGGCTACTAGCACTCTACACTGGATCAGACGTGCATTTAAAATATTTCCTCCTGAACTCTTCGAAAGACTCTTTGGTGTCTTTGTAAGACCTCATCTAGAGTATGGAATGCCAGCAGCTTCACCATGGATGAGGAAGGATATCAACTTACTCGAACAGGTGCAACGCAGAGCGACAAAGATGGTCGACGGTCTAAAGCATTTGTCTTATAAGGAGAGGCTAAATTTGCTTGGCCTATTCCCTCTCTCGTATAGACAAATAAACTGCAGTCTACTCTGGACCTTCCGGATTGTTCGCGGCCAGGGTTGCTCACTAAGGGCAGAGGACTTCTTTGAGTTCGCCCGTACAAACCAACTACGCGGCCATGCATTCAAAGTCGGGAATGAGCGAACACGTTTAGACCGGCGAAAATTTTCTTTCAGCCAGCGGGTTGTCAGGCCGTGGAACTCGCTTCCAAGCGAGATGGTGACGGCTGACACAGTTTGTGTGTTTAAAAGAAAACTTGCTCGTCTAGTTTTCGACAGAAATCGGTTTGTACAGCATGACTATGCACAGCCAGTTTTGTAAAATCTGTGATATACAATCTTCCGCACTAATTTACAGTGACCCCATGCACTACCTTATGATTACGATTGAACTGTGACCCAATCACATTTTAAATGCCTGCAATTTTATTTTATTTTTGAGTATGAACCTGCGAAAGCACTGTACATAAATAGGGTCATCAAGGGCTCTGCCTGTAACCCTTCAATATATACATACATACATGCATATAGCCCGTTCATCATTATTGATTTGGTAGCTAGCTATATCTTGATGCCATCTGCAAACACGACTCTACCGTCCACACACGCAATCAATCGCATAGATTAAAAGCAGTAACGGTACAAGCAGTGTTCTCAAGTACACCCTTTTCAAGTGATACTGACATTCATTTCGCATTGTCAATGCATGTAGGCCACGGTGGGCCTATCATGAAGCCCTCTGCCCAGTTTAGTGGTCTCCTCTTATCCCAGGCTCTCGAACGTTGCAGTGTAACCAGCAGTGTGGAACACTATCAAAAGCTTTTTTGAAGTCGACGTAAGCGACATCGAATCATTTGTCATTATATAACGAGCGCGACCACTATTTCATCGAACAGAGCACGTTGGTTAAACAGAAGTGGTTTCGTCGAATGTCATGTTGAGAATTGGCAACGAAGTATTTGTCCTCGGGTAACTTCATGATATCTTTCTTTATAATCGTTCCATAGATTTGCAAATATGCATCGTAGACTCCCAGCCGATAGTAGTTTCCACTTGTTTTCGACTAACCCTTGTGAATGAAGTTCAAACCCCCCACTTTAAAATCGAAAAGACGAGAATATCTCCATCAAAGAAGAACGGGAAAAACGCAAAAGCGATTCAGGAGTTCTTAAGCAAGCTCCTTCAGAAGGTTCTTCGGCATCTGATCTGGATCCCGGGATTTACATTTCTTAAGCGAAAGCAGTTCCTACTTTACAACTTTTTGTGTCTACTCCCTGCCAGCACATGGCCCCTTCATAAGCGGGGCTGGGAAGGGGCTGGGTGGGGCCAGAGCTCTCTCTGGATTGAAACATTTTAAAGCGTATTTGCATCGAAAGTTATGTTTCAAAAGCACGACTCATTGTACCTTCTTAGGCATTAAGGGAGCTAAGTTATCAAAAGTGGCTTATAAATCATGGAAAAAGCATTCTTTTACGCCCACGGGTCGCGGATAATATCATGCGTCAACCAATGCTGCTTTCATGCTCTTAATAACTGACTTAGTTAATTTATGTGGGGTGTAGGGATGTCAGCGGTGCGTTCACGTAATGCTCGTGGTGGTCGCTCACTTGCTTGCAGAGTAGACTGCGCCTAGCGTCCACGTGCTGGCACTCGACTGTCACCTGTGGCTCCATGTAGCTGGACTCTGCTCAGCGGCCACACAGCGGGCAACCGTCTCGACCGGCGGGCTAAACCAGGTGAGGGGGCCCTGTGCGTTGTGCCAAGTGCACAGGGTTTGCGGATTCCGCTGGATGGAAGGTCGGATGGAACCCTGCGTTGACACCGTCGTGAAGTGGTTCGTCTGTGCACGCCGCTGGACAGCCGGTGACGGGATGGATCTCCACATCGACATCACCTTGACGCGCCCACCTACGCCGTCGGAGACCGCGGCTTACGGCGAATTCGAGTCGCTCTCCACTACAACCCGAATTCTTGGTCCCATAGTGGAGTTCGGCCGTGTCGCAACGGCACATGGCAGCCCTATTCAGGGATGGCACTGCCAGCCCCACGAGGGGAAGTGCCTAGAAAAGGTGGCCTAAACATTGCTGGGTACCACGCCGTCCCCAGGCTGGCCAGGGCCGCAGACGTCTTATCATTGTCGAAACAATCAAAATCGAAACAACAACAATACCAACAACAACAACAACCATACTCATTCTCCTCATCCTACCTATTCTTCCTCTTCCTCTGCCTATACTTCTCCTTCGTCACCTTCTTCTTCATCTCGATCCCATCGCCCCACTCCTTGTCACCAGACTGGCAGGGTGAGCCCGCTCATTCTGGCAGTCTGGAATGTTCGTTCCCTTTTAGACAATCCGAGGAGCAACCGACCGGAACGGAGGACGGCGCTAGTGGCACGAGAACTGGCGCGCTACAAGGTAGACATCGCCGCACTCAGCGAGACCCGTTTCTCCGAACAAGGCCAACTGGAGGACGTGGGTGCCGGCTACACCTTCTTCTGGAGCGGTCGACCCAGGGCAGAGCGACGGGACGCGGGTGTCGCCTTCGCCATTCAGAACGACATCGTGGGACGACTACCCTGTTTGCCGCAGAGCATCAACGATCGCCTGATGAGCCTCCGCCTGCCTCTCCGGGGTGGGGACAAATTCGCCACCATCATCAGCGCCTACGCTCCGACGATGACCAAACCCGATGCCGTCAGAGACAAATTCTACGAGGACCTGCACGCCCTCTTGGCGACTGTGTCGAAGGCGGACAAGTTGATTGTTCGTGGTGACTTCAATGCCCGCGTCGGCACAGACCATACTGCCTGGAGAGGAGTGCTGGGTCCCCACGGTCTCCGCGGCTCCAACGACAACGGCCTGCTTCTCCTCCGCACCTGCGCAGAACACCGCCTCATCCTGACGAACACGTTCTTCTGTCTGCCGGAGCGAGAGAAGGCCACCTGGAGGCATCCTCGGTCGCGTCAGTGGCACCTGCTGGACTATGTCCTCGTCCGAATGCGTGACCAGCGGGACGTGCTGGTGACGAAGGCGATCGCGGGTGCTGACGGGTGGACCGACAATCGCCTCGTCATCTCGAAGATGCGTATTCGCCTACAGCCTCGCAGGAGACCACAAGGTAAGCGACCCCAAGGTAAGCTGAATGTTGCTTTATTGTCTTTGTCCGCTCACCATCTTCATTTCAGCAATGAGCTAGCTCAACGGCTATACAACCTTCCTATCGCTGCCGCCGACGACGACGCCGCCGCTGCCGAGAACGCCTCCGTGGAGAACCGCTGGTTTCAACTGCGAGACACGGTCCAGTCGACGGCGCTCACCGTCCTCGGTCGCGCTCCCCGCCAAAACCAGGACTGGTTCGACGACAACGACGCAGCCATCAGAAATCTGCTGGCTGAGGAGAACCGCCTACACAAAGCCTACGTAGATCATCCCACTGGTGCCACCAAAGCTGCCTTCTACCGCAGTTGCCGCCAACTTCAGCAACGTCTGCGCGAGATGCAGGACGCCTGGACTGCTCTCAAAGCTGAGGAGATCCAAGGGTACGCGGACCGCAACGAATGGAAGAACATCTTCTCCGCGATCAAAGCTGTCTACGGTCCGCCGACGAAGGGCACCGCTCCTCTCCTCAGCGCCGACGGCAGCACTCTCCTGACTGAGAAGACGCAAATCCTGCAGCGATGGGCCGAGCATATCCGAGGCGTCCTCAACCGCCCCTCCGTCATCTCCGACGCCGCCATCGGGCGTTTGCCGCAAGTGAAGACCAACGTGAACCTCGACCTCCCGCCATCTCTCCAGGGGACCATCAGGGCCGTGCAGCAACTCTCCAACGGGAAAGCACCCGGATCGGACGCAATCCCTGCTGAGGTCTACAAGCACGGAGGTCCCCTACTGATGGATCACCTGACTGCGCTCTTCCAAGAGATGTGGCGTCAAGGTGAAGTCCCGCAAGATTTCAAAGACTCAACCATCGTGCAGCTCTACAATCGCGAAGGGAATCGCCAAGTCTGCGACAATCACCGCGGCACCACCCTGCTGAACATCGCCGGGAAGATCTTCGCACGAATCCTCCTCAACCGCCTCACTAACCATCTCGAACAGGGCCTTCTGCCGAAAAGCCAATGCGGCTTCCGTCGTCATCGTGGGACCACGGATATGATCTTCGCCGCCCGTCAACTTCAGGAGAAGTGTCAGGAGATGCGGACCCACCTTTACTCTACCTTCGTGGACCTGACGAAAGCCTTCGACACGGTGAATCGTGAAGGACTGTGGAAGATCATGCAGAAATTCGGCTGTCCGGAGCGATTCACTCAGATGGTGCGTCAGCTGCACGACGGTATGATGGCGCGAGTCACGGACAACGGAGCTGTCTCAGAGGCATTCACAGTGACCAACGGAGTGAAGCAGTGCTGCTTAATGGCGCCGACCCTCTTCAGCCTTATTTTTTCTGCCATGCTGATGGACGCCTACCGTGATGAACGTCTCGGGATCCGCATCGCCTACAGGACGGACGGTCACCTCCTGAATCAACGGCGGATGCACTTCCAATCGCGCGTATCCACAACCACCGTTCACGAACTCCTCTTCGCCGACGACTGCGCCCTGAACACCACCTCGGAAGAGGAGATGAAACGGAGCATGGACCTGTACTCCGCCGCCTGCGAGAATTTCGGTCTGGTCATTAACACGCAGAAGACGGTGGTGATGCACCAACCACCACCCAACTCATCCACAGCCCCCAAAGCGCCGCCGCAAATCAGCGTGAACGGAACCCAACTGCGGGTGGTGGAGAACGTCCCGTACCTGGGCAGTACTCTCTCCCGCAACACCAAGATCGACGACGAAGTCGCCAATAGGATCTCGAAAGCCAGTCAAGCCTCCGATCGCCTCCAAAGCACAGTTTGGAGTCGCCACGGTCTTCAGCTGAGCACGAAGCTGAGGATCTACAAGGTCGTCATCCTGCCGACACTACTGTATGGAGCTGAGACTTGGACGGTGTACGCAAAGCAGGCACGTCGTCTGAACCACTTCCACCTCAGTTGTCTTCGTCGCATCCTGAGGCTAAAGTGGCAGGATCGAATCCCCGACACTGATGTGCTGGAACGGACGGGAATCCGCAGCATCTACGCCATACTAAGGCAAATTCACCTGCGCTGGAGCGGCCACCTGGTGCGCATGAACGACGAGCGGATACCCAAACGACTCTTCTACGGAGACGTCGCGACGGGTTCTCGCCGTCAAGGAGGCCAAATTCGCCGTTACAAGGATACCCAGAAGTCCTCCCTGAAATGCCTGCAAATCAATCCCACCAACTGGGAGGAGTTCACACTCGATCGACCGACCTGGAGGAGGACAGTGAAGACAGGCGCTGCGATCTACGAAGCCAACCGCATAGCTGACGCCAAAGCGAAACATGAAGCCCGCAAATCACAACTCGCCCAATAAGCAACGCCGCCGCACAACCGCTTCCAACTAGTCCTCGTTGTCAACGGACATTCCGGGCTCGAATCGGCCTTGTTGGACATCTTCGGATGAACTGCGCCTCTCGAACGGCACCAACCATCGTCCCCCCGCCTGCCTCTTCCTCCTCCTCTCCGCCGCCAACTAACCCTGACAATTCATCTGATCCACTTCTTCCATCATGCTCCTCCTCCTTCTCCTCCTCCTCCTCCTCCTCCTCCTCCTCCTCCTCCTCCTCGCCCGCTGCTCCAACGGCGGCCGCTCAGGCGACTGTCTCGCGCACAACGACCGGCACTACTACCACCATCC